GCCCCCTTGCCCAGATTGTCCGGTGCTTTGGGCTGGCACCAATATGCTGATGACACTCAGCTCTATCTGCTGATGGATGGCCATACTGACTCGATCCCGGACACACTGACCAGATGTTTGGAAGCTGTGGCTGGATGGTTTTGTGGGATCCGATTGAAACTAAATCCTTCAAAGACAGAGGTCCTCTGGCTGGGTCGGGATGGTATGGGGATGAGGGACAAACTCCCTTCTCTTGCAGGGGCCCAATTAGTACCAGGCTTGCCTACTGTAATTCGCTCTATGCGGGGCTGCCCTTGAAGCTGTCCCAGAAACTCCAGCAGGTGCAGAATGCTGCAGCGAGGCTCCTCATGGGGTCTCTGCCATGGGAGCATTTTCACCCAGTGCTTTTCCAGGTGCACTGGCTCCCAGTGGAGTACAGGGTCAGATTTAAGTTGCTTGTTTTGACCTTTAAAGCCCTTCATGGCCTAGGACCCTCGTACCTACAGGACTGCCTCTCCTGGTATGCCCCATGGAGGACCTTAAGGTCCATAAATAACAACACCCTAGTGGTCCCAGACCCTAAGGAAGTTAGATTAGCCTCAACCAGAGCCAGGGCTTTCTCAGCACTGGCTCCGGCCTGGTGGAACGCTCTGTCTCGTGAGACCAGGGCCCTGTGGGATCTGATTTCTTTCCATAGGGCCTGTAAGACAGAGTTGTTCCATCTGGCCTTTGGCTTAGAATCAGTTTGATTCCCTCCCCCTCTTTCTTTTTCCTTTCTCCTCCTGTGAAGAGGCTGCATCCTAATGTTTTAATGTTGTATTTTAATCAACTTGCTTTTATTATTGGTTTTTAGCTTCCCTGAGCCCGGTCTTGGCTGGGGAGGGTGGGGTATAAATAAAAAATTCTTATTCTTATTCTTATTCTTAATATTATTATTGTCACAGGCTTGGATTCAAACAGCCAGCTTCTGCTTTTACCCTGCTCTCAGCTGTCACACAGTCAGGCTTTTGTCTACCAGCCAGGTGAGGGAAGGGCCCCATCCATTTGCTCTTCTTTTGTTATACTAACAACAGTACTTAGAGCCATTAACTCACAAACAAACTACCTGACAAACAATGGAATCCATCCCTTATATTTTAACCTTTGATGGATCCAGGACCCCAGAAATTACAAGGGTCTCAGGCATCATGGAGGCTAATATCCATAACTCACAACACTATTGACAAAATTTCATTTCCCTTTTGAAGGAAAATGGTTTCGGTGCTATCATTGCTGGCTGGTTAGAAGCAATGGCTATAGTTTTACCTGCTGTTTGTTCTTGTATTTGTAATCACCAAATTTAAATTCATTTTTGTTTAAACTTAAGTTTTCATCAATTGTATGATAATTTGGTTTGAGAAGCATTGTATGTTAAATATTTATGAATAATGGATAAAATAAATGCCAAAGAAAAGGAACATATTTAGCAGAAAACCCTGATTCTGAATCCATTAGCATGTTTAATAATAATAATTTTTATTTATACCCTGCCCTCCCCAGCCAAGGCCGGGCTCAGGGCGGCTTACAAGCAATAATAAAAACAAGTTGAATGATTACAACTTAAAAACAAAATTAAAATACAACATTAAAATATTGAAACATTAAAATATTAAAATGTAGCCTCATCGCAGGAGGGGAAGGAAAAGAAAAAAGAAAGAGGGGGAGGGAATCAAATTGGCTCCAAGCTGAAGGCCAGGTGGAACAACTCTGTCTTACAGGCCCTGCAGAAAGAAATCAGATCCAGCAGGGCCCTGGTCTCATGAGGCAGAGCGTTCCACCAGGCCGGAGCCAGAGTTGAAAAGGCCCTGGCTCTGGTTGAAGCTAATCTAACTTCCTTAGGGCCTGGGACCACTAGGGTGTTGCTATTTATGGACCTTGAGGCTCTCTGTGGGGCATACCGGGAGAGGCGGTCCCATAGGTACGAGGGTCCTAGGCCGTGAAGGGCTTTAAAGGTCAAAAGCAGCACCTTAAATCTGACCCTGTACTCTACCGGGAGCCAGTGCAGCTGGAAAAGCACTGGGTGAATATGCTCCCATGGCAGAGACCCCATGAGGAGTCTCGCTGCAGCATTCTGCACCCGCTGGAGTTTCTGGGACAGCTTCAAGGGCAGCCCCGTGTAGAGCGAATTACAGTAGTCAAGCCTGGAGGTGACCGTTGCATGGATCACTGTGGCCGGGGCAGGGCGGGAAAGGTAAGGGACCAACTGCTTGATGAGGTGAAGGTGGAAAAATGTCGCCTTGGCTGTTGCTGTAACCTGCGCCTCCACGGAAAGGGAGGCATCAAGGATTACACCCAAACTCTTAAAGGAAGGCAATGGCACGAATTAGGCCCCCGCAAGACAAGGGAGTTGGTCCCTCATCCCCATGCCATCTCAACCCTGCCAGAGGACCTCTGTCTTCGAAGGATTTAGTTTCAATCGGCTCCCACGAAACCATCCAGCCACAGCTTCCAAGCATCTGGTCAGTGTGTTCGGGGCCGAGTTGGTGTACCCATCCATCAGCAGATAGAGCTGAGTGTCACCAGCATATTGGTGACAGCCCAGCCCAAAGCTCCGGATAATCTGGGCAAGGGGGCGCGTAAAGATGTTAAAAAGCATCGGGGAGAGGATTGTGCCCTGCGGTACTCCACACACCAAGGAGTGGCGCGACGACATTTCCCTCCCTAGTGCCACCCTCTGTCCCCGACCAGAGGTAAAAGAGCACAGCCAGTTACGGGCTATGCCCTGTATCCCCACGTCCGAGGCGGTGGTACAGAAGATCATGATCGACCACGTCAAAGGCTGCTGACAAATCTAAAAGGATCAGCAGTCCTGACCCGCCTCGATCCAGTTGTCTACGGAGATCATCTGTTAGGGCAACCAGAGCCATCTTGGTCCCAAAACCAGGACGGAAACCAGACTGAAATGGATCTAAAGCCGATGTTTCCTCCAGAAACCTACCAAGCTGTTTAGCAACCGCTCTCTCAATTACCTTACCCAGGTATGGAAGATTTGAAACTGGGCGGTAATTGGATAGGTCTAAGGAATCTAGTGAAGTTTTCTTTTAGAGTGGACACATCACTGCTTCCTTCAGTTCCCCTGGGAATGCCCCTTGTCAAGGGACAAATTGATAATTTCAACACCAGGGGGGTCTGCGCGACATCTGGACACTCCCTAATCAGCCAAGACGGGCATGGATCAAGGAGCAGGTGGTGGGCCTACCAACTTGGAGGAGTCTATCCACATCAGCAGGGAGTATCCAATCGAAATGGTCCAACACTGGACCTGAAGTCAGTCAAGGGGCCTCCAGTTCAGTCACTGTATCTAAATTGGTAGGAAGGTCATGGCGGAGAAACAGGACTTTCTCCGCAAAAAAGCTCGCTAATGCCTCACAGCTGTGGGTTGAATTTGTGCTTAAATTTGGTTGTCCTCCTAAGGACGTTATTGACCTAATTATTCTAAAAAGTTGTGCCGGGTGAGAGCTAGCGGATGCAATGGAAGCTGCAAAGTAAGATTTCTTAGCAGCTTTCATAGCCATCTCATAGGCTTTCATAAGCATCCTATTAGATGTTCTTGAGGCTCCGTTACGAGTTCGTTGCCATACTCGCTCTAGCCGTCTGAGATCCTGCTTCATTTTCTGGAGCTCCTCAGTAAACCAAGGGGCCTGGTTTTGACGGGGTCGCAGAGGGCGCGATCTCATCAATGGCTGCCAAGAGCCGGTTATTCCAGTCCTCAACAAGGTCATCTAATGAGTCGCCAGGAGGAGCAGGGTCCTGCAAGGCTCACCACCCAAGCAGGGGAGGAGTGGGAAATCAATCTTGGCTTTCAGAGTGTAATGATCAGACCATGGCACTTCCACAGGGGGAAGCATGATCACATCTATGCCAGCCCCAAAGATCAGATCCAGCGTGTGGCCTGCTTGATGAGTGGGGCCCAAAACAAACTGGGAGAGCCCTAGTGTTGCCATGGAAGGCACTAGGTCCAGAGCCTGTGAGGAGGGAGCGGCATCAGCATGAACGTTGAAGTCTCCCAAAACCAGTAGGCTTGGGAACTCCAAGGCCCAGCCCGCCACCACCTCCAGCAGGTATGACAGGGTGGCTGCTGGTGTGCTGGGTGGTCGGTACACCAGCCAGACAGCCAAGCTCTCCTTGGTGCCCCACATGAGACCAACACATTCAATGCCGGAGATCGCCGGTGATGGCAGAGCTCTGAAAGTACTGTATACTTACATACTGTACTCAGCAATGAAAAATCCATACCTACCCTCAGTTAAAATAATAATATCTTATATGAGAAAAAATGATGTGTTTAATGCCTGTAATTCTGGATTATATCTCATACAGACAAGCCACTATGGGGTAGTCATGGACAGTGCTGGACTTTTTTCCCCTCTCTAATTTTTTTTGTACAATTATAGAAGGAATAAATGAAAATTCCAAATACACAGAAGCAACTGTAGCTACATGTTGTAGGGAAACAGTTTCTGCAATAAACAAAAATGAGATCTGGAATACCTAAAAAACTCTAGCTGGAATATCTCTCACAAAAGAGCCACTATAGGGTAGTTATGGGCAGTGTTCGACTGTTTTTATTTTTCTAACTGTTATTGCATAGAATATTAAACGGTACAATAAAGGAAAATTGCAAAAAGGCAACAACCACCAGCCCTACGTATTGTAGGAAAGCAAGTTTCTGGCGAGGTCAAGATGAATCAGCTGACCTTCACTTGGGATGAGGAAAGAGCAGGTGACAGTGCGGCCGCAGAGTCAAAAGCTCAACTCATCCTTCCCCGACAACGCTGGAGAGCTGAAGCTACACAAGCGCAGAGCGCGGCAGCCTAACGTCCCGCGCCATGACGTCATGCGCAGGTTTGAATGACGGCAGCTCCTGCTGGGGCCAATCCGGAGTGGCGACGATGCCGGGATGACGCAAACGACCCTAGCAACAGACTGAGCTCGGCCTCGTCCAATGAAAAAAAAGGAAGCGGGCCTCCGGGAACCTATCAGGCGCACCGGAGTGGGCGAGGGAAGGCGGCAGGAGGCTGGTCTCACACTCGCCGACAAGATGGCGACGGCAGCGATGGGGATGGCCGCGCCAGTCGCTTTGTTTCCCACCAGGGTTTGAAGCTCGCCTCCCACGCGCCGGAACGAAAGTGACAGGAGCTGTGGAGAGATGACTGCGGAGCCCGTGAGGTACGCGGCGGCGCCTCGCTACTCTCTCGGCCATGGCGGGCGGTGAGGAATGGGAAGGCGTGGGGGGGTGGGGGAGGAGCCGGAGCTGAGGGGCGATCGCCCTCTGCCTCACGCGCGTGGCTTCCCGAGAGGGCGCGGAGGACAAATTAGACAACACCCCCCTCCCGCCGGCTCCTCCCGCCATTTCTTCGAGGTCATTTTATCAGCGGCAGCTCAGGGTGGGGGAGGGAGGGAGGTTGGGGAGGGCCGGGTGTCTCCCTTCCCGCCTGCGCATGCCCAGTGTGAGGCGAACGTCCCCCCTCCCCCCCTCCACTGCGCCCCCTCCTGAGAGGCCGTTTTCTTCCCCTGGCGGGCGAGGGGGCGGGGCCACTGCAGAGGAAAGGGGCGGGGCTCCTGCGCAGATCCTGCCACCCGTCCCCTCCCTTCCCTGCCACCCCCCCCCTTTTGCCGGTCACTGATCAGAGTTGCGGGTCCCCTTCCACGCCCACCCAACCGCGCGCGCTGCTCATAGGGCTCCTGAGCGGCCTGTCTTTTGCCGGAACCAGGCCTCGGTCGTCGGGGGGCCGGCGGCATGGTTGATGTTGATCGGCGGCCTCTGCACACGCTTTCCCAGAGACCTTGCGGCGCCCTTTTAAATAGGGGTATCGCCTAGGAAGCATAGCTGTCAACGTTTCCCTTTTTTTAAGGGGAAGTTCCCTTATTCAGAATAGGATTCCTCGCAAGAAAAGGGAAAAGTTGACAGCTATTCTAGGAAGCCGCCTCGTGCCGTGTTACCGGTGCACGGTAGCGCAGCGTTGATTGCGCCAGTAGCCCTCTCTTCAGCTTAGGGTAAGATGTCGAGGGTTGAATTTGGGCACTTTTGTTCTGCCACCCAGCTGCAGACCACGTCCATGCTTAGGGAACTGCTTTGTACTGAGTTGTGGGGAGGGTCTTCTAGCCCAGTGTTGCCTCTGTGTGGATTGGCAGCAGCTGCCCATTGTTTTGGGCAAGAATCTTGCCCACCCTCGGGCTTTCTCTATGTAAGGCAACTGCCTTACTACTGACTTACAGACGTTCCTCAAAACGTGGTCAGTACTCAGGGATGATGGAAGTTGCAGCTGAACAGCATCTGGAGGAGTCACAGATTACAGTCCTGGCATCTTTGGAAGGGTAACAGAGAGGGTGGGGCTGTAGTTCCATGTTGCCTACCTGGTGGTAAGTGCCATTGTGCAAAAGTTGGAAGAAATCATAGTTACCTACATGTGCAGTAGAGAGAGAGTACTCACACACAAAAACACACATATACATAATAGCAATTATTAACCACCACAAGTGTGTTCTGCGAGCAATTGTTTGCATGGAAAGCATACCAGATTTGTTGTCCTGTTTTTTAACTAATGTGATATATTGGTTCATATATTGGTTCATATGAGAGATGCTATTTTCCCTTCTGAGCATAATAATTCATAGTAGAGCACATTATCTATATCATGGAAACATTTTGAATAAGTTATTAAGAGGTTGCTTGAAAATGGGATCTGAAATGGATATGTGAATAAATGTATATTGCTCTTAAAAATGCTGATGATTCATCACATGTACATGCTAGGTTGACTATTGGTTATCTTACCTGTGTGCTTGTTTTGAAGTAGTGCTTGTGCTTTGTTTATACTGTATTGTAAAACATTGGTTTCCAAATTTTATTTATTTGCAAATTATGTAAGTAAACATCTCATACATTGTATATAAACTTTATGTCCCTATGGTCTCCAGCAGAATAGTAAGATGACTATTACAGTAAGCATAATAACATAAAATAATAAAATGAAACAATACAGTAAATGCAAGCAACAAACCAAAGAAGCAACAGCTTACTAAGAGAGTAACCTCTCCTTCTTTTTCCAGCTTATTTCTAGAGTAATTGGGAGGCAAGGAGGGTGGATCTGGATCTGGACACTGGTGGAGGGGTGGGGTACCCTGCTGCAGACCTGAATTGGATCTCCCTCCTACTGCATGTCTATTTACTCTGGGAAAAATGGTTAACATAATTGCTAATTGTGTGAATTACGTCATGTCTAGTTACTTTCTTTGGAACTCTTATTTCCATTACCTCTTAACCTTGCAGTATAGTTCTTTGTAGGCTTCTTTTTGTTGTATCACAATTGATGATAGATGGCTGGTATATAAATTCTTGTTCAACAACAAATTATTCAGAGTGTAAATATGCACAATGCTTCATATGTACAAAGTGTGTGATGTAGTTTTTGTGGCTTGTGTGTAGTGCTAAGTATTTCACAATGTGACCATTACGAGTTGGCTGCACATGGAATTAAATTTCCCTATTGTAAATTATAGTGTTCACAATTGAGAGAGAGAGAGAGTACAGTGGTACCTCAGGTTACATACGCTTCAGGTTACATATGCTTCAGGTTACAGACTCCGCTAACCCAGAAATAGTGCCTCAGGTTAAGAACTTTGCTTCAGGATAAGAACAGAAATCGTGCTCCGGCGGCACGGCAGCAGCAGGAGGCCCATTAGCTAAAGTAGTGCTTCAGGTTAAGAACCTCCAGAACGAATTAAGTACTTAACCCGAGGTACCACTGTATAAATATATCATTTCTTTTCTCTTCCACACCGATTGGTGAATCCTAAAGCTCAGACTTCTCTGCATTGTAAAAAAAAAAGAAACTGAGTTCTTCTGTATTGAAACATGTTCACACATCTACACTTGCACTTCTTATCTGTACCAAAATTCCATTCTCTCCCACTTCATGATTTTGCAGCCTACCTATAAAATACTCCCCCTGAAAGCTACAGCAGTCTGCCTGACAAAGAATTCCAGAAGAAGTGTCAGCAGTGGTGGTGGTGGCTGCTGCTAAGATAGAGGCATGGCAACCTCAGTGCCTAGGCGGTAAGCTTGCACCACCTTGCCTGCCTGTCATTGGTGAAGGGTTTTGGGGGTGTACACTCCCCCAAGGTGCCTGGGCCAGAGGCTGCCATGCCTGCCACAAAGCATCAACTGGGTGTCAAAGTTGGAAGATCAAATCTGGCACAGGGAGGGAGGCAGCCCATGGTATCTGGTGCCCCAGGCTTTTTCCTCCCTCTGCAGGCTCCCCACAAACCTTTGAGAGACGGCTGTGCATCCAAAGGGACCACCCAAAGCACGCAGCTCAATGAGCCCTGGCCGTCTGAAGCCCACCCCTGGGGGTGCTAGGTGGCTTATATCTCTGCAGCCCAGCCTAGTCGAACTCCAAGCAAGGATGGCTCCCACTGCAGCAGTTCCTAGTGTCCTGGAACTGTCTGCACTCAAATCACCTGCTCCCTGGGAGGTTGTGTTCCTCTGGAGCCCTGGCAACCTAGGGATGCTGCCAGGCTCCAAGCTGGCCTGAGAGCACAGCCTGGCGGCTCCAACAATCTTGCGCCTTTGGCTGTGGCACACGCTCTCCACCGGCCTTGCTCATGCTGCCCTGAGTGGGGTTAGAGGGTGGGGAGATGGAGGGCCGCTAAAAACAGTGGTTTGCATGTTGGACCACCCTTATCTATATTGTAATCATTGTAATCAATGATTTTTTAAAAAGGATTTTTTTTAAAAAAATCAGATTTTTAAAATAAAATGCTTCTGGAGAAAAAAATCTTTCTAAAGATAGTTTTCTATTTAAGTTACATTATAGTCCAAAGGCTTTTCATCAGGAAATAAGGATTTGTTTTAAGTTTTTCATGTGTGCTAAAACTCAGTCTTAGTTTTTTTCTTAATTAAAAATGGTTTAACCACATCAGTTAACAAACATGGATACATATGCTATAATGTTATTGCTTTAATTAAATAAATGGTTTAAATTGTTATTAAGGAAATGATTCTTTTTCTTCTTCCAATAAAGTACAGCAGAAAAGTTGTACAAATATAAACAGTTAACTTATTAAATCTCACAATAATTTCATAATTATCTGTGTATTTCTAATAGTATAACCATTTTTGATATCTCTAAAAACTACTCTGAAAATCTATTCTTCCAAAAATGAAACCTTCATATGGTTGTAAATATTAAGATTATACCAGCAAGAATGAGTCTTTCTGTAAAAAAAATAATGATTTAAACCAAGTCTTACTGACCAGTGATTTAAATCAAGTCTTACTAACTACAGTCATACCTCAGGTTGAATGTGCTTCAGGTTGAGCGCTTTCAGGTTGTGCTCCGTGGCAACCCAGAAGTAACGGAGCATATTACTTCCGGGTTTCGCCGCTCGCACATGTGCAGACGCTCAAAATGACGTCACATGCATGCGTGGAAGCGGCAAAACGCGCCACACGCAGACGCGCCATCACGTTTTACGTTCCATTCAGGATGAGAACGGGGCTCTGGAATGGATCCCGTTCGCATCCCAAGGTACCACTGTAGTGATTTAAATCGTGATTTAAATAAAATACACCCTGGTTGTAATCCATTAGGGTTTTTTGTGATGGCGTTGAAGGGTCTGGAAATTGACTGAGCTGTTATAGGGGTTTGTGGCAGACACAGATGTGTTCCTTTGGTAAAGTTGCTGTACTGTGTGGAAAAAGAATGGTAGACAAGCCTTGGAAAGGAAGAAAAGGAGTCAAACAAGGCACACTTGGAAGTTGATTGCTGCTTTGGGATGGGATGTAGCTCACATAAACAAGTGGAAAATGAACTGAACTGAAATGATAGGGCCAGCAGGTGCAAAGGTAAGGGAAGCTGAAGTCCAGCCATAGATTAGAAATAAATCTTTGTCTTCAAGTTTTTATTAGCAATCTGTTCCCACAAGGTCTTGAATTTTATAATTGCTAATACTGGAAATTACATAGTTCTTATAACATGTATGGTCAATGTTTTGAAGAAGAGTGCAGTACAGTGGTGCCTCGCAAGACGAAATTAATTCGTTCCGCAAGTTTTTTCTTCTTGCGAGTTTTTCGTCTTGCGAAGCACGGTTTCCCATAGGAATGCATTGAAAATCAATCAATGCGTTCCTATGGAAACCGCCTTCAGACCAGGTCCGGGGACAGTTTGTCCCCCGACCTCTTCTGAAGGCTGGGGGGGGGGGACAAG